CACTGTGCTCTAGATAGTAAATGAGATCCTATTCAGCTTGTATTCTCTGGGTTCAACCTGGGTTCAGTCTGTGGTTGTACACAGATGGTTTGTCTGATCCCCTTTTGTGTGGTTTCCCCCTCATCTGCTTGGATGTGTTCCTTTTATAAAGAGAGCTAGAAGTTTCCATCTGCCAAATAAAAAGCTACTTTTGCATTCGACTAAGGGATATATCTGAGAAATATGATCTTGTGCAGTTTTGTTTGCAAAGCAGATGTGAGACTGGTTGAGACCAAGAAGATTGGAATCAACGAACCATCCGATTGTAGTTACTGTGTTTTTTCCAACTTACTTTTAATCTTTTGATGACGGGAAATAAACTTCGTCTAGCTACTTTGATAATTTGTTTTATATACGAATAGTAATATTTGGTGTGACATTGAGAAGTAGCTTATAAATAGCATCTGCTGATGTTTCTCTGATCAGTGTTATCTGTGTGACACTGGGACACAATTTCTGAATACGTTTTGGCTCATCTTATTTTGTTAAATAATTTTATCCTTTTTGCTCTATTTTAAGGATCTGAAATTTTCTTGTTCTTTTTTTCTCAATTGATTTTTTTCTCTAGCCGTTGCCAGTTAATGTTCCCTTCTGAATTAAAATTTCAGCTTGCCTTCTGGAGTAAATTTATTACATTGTTTTCTTTGTGACAGGTTTGTTTTTCTTTCCTACCTATACAATGGGGAATTGCTCTCTGGGAAGGTGTGTGGACCAGACCACTGCTAACAAAGACAATGTCTGCCTCCTTCCGCACTAAGCCTGTCATTTTTAAAATTAATTACACATAACAGGGAATGAGGACTACAACACGGTATGTCTTGTGTTTGCTGACTATGGCAGAAAAACCTGATCAATGGAATCTGCCGTTAATCCTGGTGTTAATGTGTAATTGTGTTACGACGATCGATGTGCACAGTGCCAGCCAGGCAAATCCAGAAAATCAATGGTTGAGTGTGGCAGCAGTGACAGTTATAAAACAGAAGTCTGCTTCTGCTAGATATACACAAAGACTCAAATTCTTCTGAGATCTTTTAAGTCAAAAACTGACCTTCGGTTATGAATGCCAACATTTCTTTACTAAGGAAATCAATTTTACAGTGAAAAGAAATGCTTATAGTGGTATAGCTGAATCCTTTCCACAGATTGACTTGGGACTAAGATTGAAGTAAAAAGACAGCTTCTAGTGTTTTGCCAATCTGTGTTTATTTAGGAGAAACGTGTTATGTGGGAGACTTCTCATAGCTGATGCCAGTTTTTGTGTCTTTGTATTGATGCTGATGCTTATCGAGATCCATACCCAGCCCATCTCCTTGTCCCATGGTTTGCTTTACTGTCCTAAGAAGCTTCTACTTTTTTCTTTTCTTGTTTGCTGCATTAGGGCTGTGCACATATAGCTCAGTTACAGTATGTCTCTTCTGATAGGACAAGTCTTCTCGTTTTGTGATATCTAAGTCACGAAGCCTTGGTCTGTGTTCCAGTCATTACCTTGGCTGCCTGGATGACATTTTCTGAGCACCTTAAGAGCTCCTCCTGGACATGAGAATGGAGGACCTCTGTGGAGCTCCTGTACCCAGGAACGGCTCGGTGCTGGCAGTCAAATGGACCCAGAAGACCCCCTGCCAGCGCAGACTTCCTGTGTCTTGTCTGTTTTCTTGACATTTCCACAATCTATTTGTTTGTCAACTAATAATCTTCCTGTACTGGCTTCATGGTCAGAGAAGGAAACTTGACTGGGAGGGCAGTGCAAGGTGACTCTGTGAAGTGGGTGTGTCACCGTTGGCATCTGGATTACGCTTTATTCCACCTAGACCCAAACAACACAGAGAAGGAGACATGAAGGCGCATGTGTTTGGAGAGGCGGCATTGACCGCCTCTGCTGTGTGGTTGGTCACCTTCAGAATACCTGGTTGTCTGTTGAGATATTGATGAAATGTTTCACACAAGCCTCTCCTTTAGGAAGCTCCAGAACCTGGCTGGGGATGTTCAGAGATGCTTTGGTCAGTCACCTTTGGTCTCACTGCCATGGGTCTTCATAGCATACCAGTCCTCATCCTCAGCTTCTCTGTTCCATGTTTTCCTTGGCTCTGTCAGCTGACCACATATGAGAGTATCACTGATTCTTCCAATGCAAGCATAAATGGGGGGTGCAGTTAGGATATCTTTAATTGGTCTATATTCACATATCGATTCTCTGTAAAAAGATTAAGATTGCTTCTGTTTATGTACATGACTGACCATCCATTAATATATAATTTTATTCTTCTTTTTAAGTTGACAGGTATGATGCACATATTCTGTAGTTATACTGCATCAGAGACTGTATTTGACGTAATCCTTTTTTATGGGTTACATCTGTCAACATTGACTCATATCATAAGGATCTGAACCAGTGGTGAACCTTCTTAAAATATGTATTTTTGGTAAGTTCAGATATGACTGTCTGTATACATGAATATAGAATTTTACCGTATAAATCTGCAGTTGAGGATTTGATTTTCCAGGAAAACTTGACAATCAGAGCAAAACAGCACCACACTTACCACTCAATGAATATTTTATTATGTTTATTATGCTATTCTTTTGCATTAGCCTAGGCATTGACTTCCCCGACTCTTCAGAAGAAGCTCTAACAGACCAGCTTACCTTATGCACTGACTTGGTTGGATAATTCTACTTCACATTAACAACCTGCAAGATCAATGCACAGCATTAACTATGACAGATGTTCCAGAGAAATGTGATTTCTGGAGGTGATTTAGCACATGCATAATTTTAAAACCTACTGCTACTATTCGTTACTCATGACATGCTTGTCTATTACTGCCTAGTATCTAAGAAAACCTAGAACAACCTAAATAACTCTAATAAAATAAAACTATTATTTATTAAGTCTGTATTTTCGGGTACATCTTTTCAGGCAATATGGTGAGAAAATTATTTTGCAATTGCTTTCTTATTCATAACTTGGTTCCTATATTGCGGGTTACAGTTTCCTTTAATATGTGCTCTGGTTAAAGTCATAATGAAATGTTTGTTACTTGTTGTGCTTTTTCAAATTTCATTCCTCCTCCTGTGTATCTATTGGCACTTAACCTAGTTTAGGTTTAAGATCACACTGGGAGCCAAAACAAATAAAAGCTAAGATCAAACCTGAGTTCTACCCTCATGACTCATCATATCTTCATTGCTTCAGCATCTATTTGTATTCTGTTTTCTCATTACAGAGATGATAATGGGTTATGACTAATTAGGAATAATAAAGCAGGGCCTGTAAATGTGCTGTTCACCCCCTTCCAAGCATTGTGCTCTGACAGGACAACACAATGACCAGCTTCATCTGAGTCTCTGCTTGTGGTCAGAGTCTGAGAGAAATGATTTGGGTCAGGATCTTCACGTAGCAAATGCTCTTCTCATTCAGCATGTGTCTGTCTGAAGTGAAATGATGCAGATGTGCATATCGGTCATGCTGGTTACTCTGCAACTTTTGAAGTTTGAATAATACGTATGTCTGCATGCTGTGAACTGGGTGATGCTTTAGCAGTGTCAAAGCTTTGTTGATAAAAACACTTCATGACATGCTGAGAAAATTGATTTTCCTTATTGGTGCCTGTGCAGTCATATAGGTTTTAGTTCCTTATTCTGGATCATGACAGAACCCTTTAACCAAGTGGTCTGTGACATCTGGAGGTACTGCACAGACGGACAGATGAGACCATTATTAAATCTTCTGTTGATTGTTTTGGCTGGTCACACAATGGTGATCGCAAGAGGAGTGGATTGATTGTGGGTTGATTGAAGAAAAATGTCCTTGGTTATATCACTCTGAGTTACTGGAGTACTTTGGAGAGCATAGCTATGTTGCAGACACGCAAATGTATTCACACGCTTGAACCTGATAGAAGCTGTCTTATTCAGAACTGGCCTGGAGTGAGGGATCAGCAGCTTGCCCTATGGACCCACGGCATTGAAAGCTGAACATCCACCCGCTGCTCAAACATGACATCCAGGGTTAATGAGCCAGATGAGCTAATTAAAGATGCCCTCTTGTTCTACAAACAAGCAAAATATGGCATGTGTCTTTCTGATTTCTCTAGGCAAATGTGAGATGTCCACAGTGACAAGTCACAGAAAATCATTAAAAACCCAGATTTAAATAAACCACAGAAAAAGTTAAATACAGATAATGAGCTTTTTATATATAGTGATGTCTTAAGATCAGTAAGTAATTTGACTTGTTTAATTTGATGAAATTCACCTCTTAGGAGAGCTTTGTGTGCTTGTGGTTTTAGCCCAACTTTTGTAGTACAGTAATAATAAGAGTCTATCTTTTGTTCCATCATTTCAATACACAGGAGCTGTTTGCAGATTAATTACGTGCTGATATATGCATGTTTTGTTCATAGATGAAGACATCAGTTGGAGTAGGTACTGATCAGACTGAAACAAAGGTTGGATTTAGCCAGTCTCTTAATTCTCATTCATCTATTTTTCTTCCAGCTGTCAGAATGTCTGTGAGATTTATTTTACAATTCATTATAATTGCAGCCTTTCCAATCTTCCAGGAATATAAACTTCCCTCGTAATGCGGCTGTAGTATAATGAGTCTGTCACACATTTATTCAGGTGCCCCAAGTGTATCAGTTGTGTCACCGAATGAGGGAGGGGTCACGGGATGACAAGGAAATGTTTCTGTCTGATGGTTCTTGGATTTCACATTTGAATATCTACTGTAGTGTGTCAGCTTTACTCAAAATGTAAGTTGTTAGCTGAAATACACCATTCTGAAGGCGATTTTTCTGAGCATATAAGTGAAGGTGATGCTTCTCTTCATTTGTGCATCACTGAATTCATGCATTTGATGGTGAACCATCCAAGCAGCTGTAAAGGCTGTGATGCTCACAGTGGTGAATAAAAATAGTAAAAATCTGTGTGTGTGACACCTTTCATGTTTTTTCCCCTAGTCTCAGCAGAAATGCGTGGTGATCTTCGCACTAGTGTGCTGCTTCGCCGTCCTGGTGGCCCTGATTTTCTCTGCTGTGGACATTTGGGGGGGAGATGAGGACGGCATCACAGAGGACAACTGCAGCACCGAATGTCGGTAAGGAGCTTCATTTCTGCTGAGACGATAACAGTAGGGCCATTTTCAAGGGAACTTCAACAACCAGCTGTAATGTTTCATGAAGGCCGTAAACAGGCTTTCAAGGCCGGGTGTAGTGCGCTTGCTGTTCGTTTCCGCTGCTAATTCGATGGGTGGAGGCTGTCAGTTGGCCGGCACATGGCCAAGTCAGCTACTAGCTGAAAAGCCCAGCCTCACATTCCGTGGATCTAGCAACCATCAGAAATTCGGACATCTTTCTTGCTGCACGGTTAATTCCAAACATTTTATTTTTTTCAGTTAAAATTGATTCCTCTCTGTGTGGCCGAGGGCTTTTCTCTGTGGCAGCCTTAGTTTTCTGTGACTAAGTGGATGTGTCTGCTTCTCTAACAAACTGTTTCTCTCCAGCCCCTTTTGAAATGTGGCATTTTATGTTTTTTGCTCGTTGATGGGCTAGTGCTACGGTGGCACCAGTTTCAGCAGTCCTTGTCACCGATTGCTGCTTTGACTGGACAAGGACTCGCTCGGTCTATACAGAATAAATTGACCATGTATTGGTTTAGTGGAAATGCTGAAATGGCAGTGTCTTGTGTACTTATCAATAAGATGTTTGAGAGAAAAAAATACACTTCTGAATCTGTTAGCAATATAATATTGATCAGAATGGTTAAAATCAGCATATATTTTCATACATTAAATAAATTATATACTGTTTTGGGTGTTTGTAGACCTAGCCAGTGTAGACCTGGTTTTAAGGCTTTTCTATGTGGGACTCAAGTATATAGTGTTGGACTGAGTCACTAGTTCCCCTTGTACTATTTTTAAAGATTACACTTTTTGAAAGTCATTGTGCAGAAAAAGACTCTGTCTCTCTTCCCCCTCTCACTTTCTGAGGTTGGTAGTAGTAATTAATTATCCCTGAATGTGTTTTTTGCAATTTGGATGTTATTTCACACTCCACTGTCTTCTTTTCCTTTACTTGTTGGTCATGCTTTCAGTCAACCATTAGTCAAAAAGCTTAATAGGTTTTTTACATATTTAGCCCAATTGCCTGCAGTTGGCAGAAATAGCTTAATGTGTCTTAAATGTATGAATTCATTTAAAATTGAATCTAAGGTGCTTGTTCCCGGATCTTTTCACTAGCAGTGAAGTTGTTCAAAGGATCTTCTGTTTGCACTATTGTTGGTTGGTTCTGATTATTTAAAAAATAATAATTTATTGCCACTGTCAGTTTTGGCACATGGCATGGCAATCAGTGCACGGGTGCTTGTTAACTGGAGCCTCCAACACAAGACGTGGCTTAAAATAAACTTGTCCCGCCGGGTTTCCTTGTTACATCAACGTTTGGGGTTGCTCTTGGAACTCTGGGTGGAAGAGCAGGCTTGGGTTCTATTCTGGGTTTAGCTCTCCTGCTGTTTAGCGATACACTTCGCTGCTTTAGGACTTTCAAAAGGTAGAATAGCTATAACAAAGTCTGTGCCACCTGAAATCCCCGGGGGTGTCCGGAGCAATTCCAGCTTCTTATGCTGCGATGCAAAGACAAATGAGTCTTGGCCCCTTGAATGTAAATCTAAACCTCTGAGGGATTATGTGAGATTTTTTCCATTTAACATTTGCATGTAGCTCAGCATCAGATGGTTTATAAATGCACGACTTTGTTTTTTTGCCATTTTGGATCTGTGCCACCATTTATCTTTATGTGGATAGCAGACATGACTCTCTCAAGCCATCTCTAAGAAGGATCATGGTGGTTTTGTGGTTATTAAGCACTCTGGGTGTCTTGAAAAGCACTATGTAAATGTAACATTCATTCATTTGTGGGGAGAAAAAATAAAAAGCAAATAATGAATCCATGTGTAATAAATCCTGCCTTTGCGTTGTCAGACCCCTTTTGATCCCCTTGACAACAGAGCATTTATTAGAGAATAACATGGTTAACCTTATCAAGAACCTTCTGACCATTTCTTTCCCCTCTGGGGCGGCTGTTGCTAAGCTCTCCTTCAATTTGGCCCTAAGTCAGTCCCATCTAATCGGCTGTTTCTACTTGCCCTCTATCCCTGGTTTGACCCAAAACATACCAGTCTGCAAGAGTTTGAAGTGATCAATGGCAATAAATGAGATTTAAAATCCTGTGCTTGGTAAAGCCGCAAATTTGTGGAGTGTCTTTGCAAGCAAAAAGGTGAGATCTATGTTTACATGACTCATCAAAGTCCTGGGTAAAGATAACAAAGAAACTGCTGAGATGTATCAGAAACATGAGCCCCGGTCTTCAGGCCAAACGCCGGCTATACCTAGGTGATGTCACCTCAATAAGCAGAGGCGTAGATTTAATCCTGCTGTGTCTGATTAATTAGATTGTTTTAAACATCCATTCTGAAGAAATAGCTATTGACCCGTGTCCATTACAGTTGAGTTGGTTCTCTTACAGTGTACAGGGCATTAGTAATATAGACTTGTATCCCGATTTCTGTTCATTTTTCATGTGACCAGAGTACAGCAATAAAGATGGATACAAGAGTAAAAAAACATACACTGAGCAATTTGTTATACAGGTGTGTGGTGAAAACTATAATTTACTGAATTAATTGTAAGTAAATAATACCGGCAGATGAATCTCATTGATAAGCGAATCCAAAGTTGTCGAGCAGTTACAAAGAGGTACAGCTTAATATATCAGGGTGTTTAGGAGTGTTCTGCTGGGTGATACATTAACACTTCTGAGTGTGGTTCTCCAAACTATGATTAGCACCAGTACTGAAACAGCACAGTTAGAATTTTTAATCAATACTGTTGCCACTGGTGTCTACTGGTATCTTTTTTAGCTGATTTCTAAAGTTTGACCATTTTATTTTTTATTTTGACCATGGATATCATGGAAATACACTTTAGGTGATGGAAAGGGATGTCATCTGTAAATCTGAGCACAAGACCTTTCAATTAGATTGTTTTTCTTAAGGATGGGAACGAATTGCGTAATTATATTTAGTGCAATGCAAGAAAGTGTACACATTGGTTCAGTGTGATACCTTCACTTTCAGTGTTGTCCAGATATACTGGAGAGTTCCTCACTAACAGATGTGCCTCACCGTTCTATAAAAGCCAGAGGTGCATAGTTTTGCTGCATGCTGGCTCACTTAACATAGCACCAGATTAACAGAGATTTATAATAAGTATACATCTGCTTTGTTGTGACAGTTGAAATACACAGTCATACAACTCAGTGAAATAGGTGCTGTATTAACACTCCACAAGCCAGAATAGCCATCTGATACATTTTTGACTGAGCTCCGGAGCAACTGAGTGGAGACAGCCGGACAACGAAAGTTGGTTAAAAATAAGTCCCAGAACCACTTGCTGCATATTGAAAACTTAATGAGATGTTAATGTTGCAGAACATCTGATACCAGGAAGTTATTGCTTGTCTCCCAGCGACCAGGAGCCAGTGACTGTGTCCGCGACACTCCCAGACATTCCGGGAGGCATTGGTCCTCTATCAGAAAGTTCATGTTTTTCTAATGATGAGGGGTGGATAGGGATCTGATTAATGCTGTCTTCCAGAGCATGGAAAATTGTAGACGCAAAACTAAGTCAGATGCCATTATATTACTCCACCTTGGTAATTAAGTACACTATTTGTTACCCAGTTAGTTAACAAAACAAAACTTTAAAATACAACAGGAAGTGGACCTTTAAAATTAAGCCCCTTTCCAAAATCATTGTTGCCTAATGTATCAAGGAAAATCATTTTTTGGATGTTTCTCAGCTATTGGACAGTCAGTTCCTTAGCATAGTGCCTCATGTCAGCAAATCTGCTTTGATTGTGTTTTTTTGTGAGCTAGCTTGCCATTCAGCTTGCCTGCAGTTTGTCCATTTCAATTTGCTTGCTGCAATAACGAAATTTCTTCCAACTGCTGAAAAATGTAGACAGGGAAATAAATGAGGGGGAATTAAAGTACATTTCAGGTACAGCAATAGTTTGCTTTAATTGACTGTGGAAATCAAGGTCTTAAATCAATCAAAATGCCATTCAGTTGCTCCAAGCGTTTTTCTGGTTTCTCCCAGAAATTTCTTTCTTTCATTTCTTTATAGACCAGGGTCTGATTAAAACAGGGCCTCGTGCTGCATCTTCCTGCCTGAGAGGAAGAAGCAGTCGCTGTATTTTCTAATGCACCGACTATGCATTGCTTACGAGATCTTGCTGGGGGTGCATCCGCAGTCTTTCCTCCAGGGCAGCATAAACCTATGGGAAATGACATTGGCCACGGAAACGAAAACAGACTTCAGGTTTTGTGTGCGCAGTATGCTAAAATATAATTTGTTTATGAGACGGGCCACCATACGTTTATCAAACGTTATGTTCAGATTTGTGGTGTCACCATCTCCTTAAATGATGAGCTGTTTAACTGGACCTGCTACAGCTACTGCTATCACTGAAGGTGGGTGTTTTATGGGTAGAAACCATTTTTTCACTGGCAGATTTATTTATGATCGTATTTACAGTAAAGAAGCTTATTCAACAAAAAGAGCAGGGAAGTTTCATAAGGTCGGGTGGAGGCCATATTTTCAGCCTGTTCAGTGTTCTAACAGGAGTTTGAATATATTGCATTATCCTTGTCACTTCTGGCCTGCTAGCTCAGCATTTTCTCGCATCTGATGTGATCTGATTCTGTATTAAAACATGGTGACAGGCATATTCAGAATATTACATGGATCATATATCATACTACGTCATATTTAAAACTAATAGTAGAATCTCAGAATGCCTCTAGACAGATTTTTTTTCTTCAAAATCATCATTTCTTTATGTATTTATGCCATAGAGAGTAGAGCTACGCTTCATTCTGAAGATCAGCAGCTGCTTTGCATGAAGACTCTAAAAACCGGGGGTAATCTAATGATGTCGAACAGCGTAAAACCTCATATTAAGCCTTCTTAGTCCGTTTATTAGAAGGACATCAGTGGCATTTCGGGGTGTGGGTGACTCTAATGACGCATGCTAAATGCTATAATACACAACATTAGGGACACATCACATGTAATGCCAGAACACAAGAACACATCCATTAATCATTATTAGTTTTTTCACATTTTAAACTGGAACGATGTGTTTCCACAGGATAGTCCTTGTGGAGAATATTCCTGAGGACATCACTTTTTCAGAAAATGGCACAAGCAGCATACCTCTCTCTGTGGGTCTGCACAAACTCCTGGACCTGGCCACCCGCTCAGTTGAGATCGTCTCTTCCCACTGGGCCCTGACCTCAGCGGACCTCGAGTCTGGTTTTCCGGGTGCTGAACAGGTATGAGTCCCCCACTGTGGGCCAAATTGGGTCCATGATCACCCAGAGAAAGAGGAAACCGCAACAGTCCTGATTTGAAAAAGGTGATTGTTGCAAGCAGACTAAGTTGGCGGTGTAAGTAGAATAACGACTGCTGTAAATCAAGCAAAGGGCCACTGTTATCAGCATATCAATAATTAAACACCTTGGCAGACGCCCACATTGATTTCATGGATTTACTCGTCAGCAGACTAGAAGTCCTAAAAAACAGCAACTCTGCCATCAAGGATATAAAGTAATTGAAACTCTTATTTTTATTTCATTGTAAATATTAAATGACCATAGTATTAAATTTGCATTTTCTGGATTCACTGTAGTTTCTGCGAAATGAATTTCATCACAGAACTCACCCATGATTGGATATCGATTTTAATGGAGCAGCTGGGAAGTGTTTGGGGAAATGCTCACTCGAGTTTAACTAGTAACACTGACTGCCTCATGCGACGCACAGGTGTTGCCTGATTTTGAAAATAACCTGAGAGGCTTATCGTGTCATCTGGGTGTTTTCCCCTCACATCCTCACATTGAGTATGCATATAGACCTGGCCTGCATCCTGGTCCACAACCAGCGATGCCGCCAAATCAAGGCAGAGCGATTTCGGGAACACGGCAGCAGCTCAGCGTGAAATGTGGAACGGTGACGAGACTCGTGTCCCTGTTGCTACGGCTCATTCCACGGTGGCTGCTGGGCAAATGGAAATTGCACCTCAGGCCTTCAGCAGTGTAGGGACCTAATCAGTTAAGCCTTTAGCAGGTTTTTTTTTCCATCAGCCTTGGTAATGAAACTATAAAGGATGATGGGAACCAGTGGCTATAACGTCTCACTGTGGAGCCCTTGCTGCAGTTATTGTTGGGTGGCTGGAGATTAGTTTTAGCTCACAATTAAAATTTTAAAACTCATTTCTCCCAGTTTGCAAGACCTAATTACCCCATTTCTCACTACTCTCCCCCTAAATGCCCAACACGCCAGGTCCAGCCCACTTGCTGTTACAGTACATACCTTCCTCACCAGCCTTCATCTGGTAACATGAGAAGCTTTGTGGAGCACCGCTCTCTCTTATCCACCTACAACCTTGTAGGCATCTGCTTGATGATACAAATTACTGCAGGGCAACCACAAGAGGGACCACGCTGTCTTTTTTGTTGTTTCGTGGGTCTCTAACCAGGGAAGCCTTGAGTCTGGATTGTCAATATTAGGTTGAGCTTCTTTAGTCCTAGAGAAGCACAATCAGGGTCTCACAGGTCACAAGGCACGCCGGTTCAATCGCAGCTCTCTGTCGCCTGAACAGTAAGTCACCTGAAGGTAGAGTATGGCATCGACACACCCTGAATGTGTATCTGTGGTTTTTTTTTCTCAACAGGGTCACTATTTGTTTCAGCGACTCCTGGACCTCAAGTCCCACCAGATCAGCCTGAAAGTGGCCAGCGGTCTCACCAATTCCACAGAGCTGCGGAAACTGTCAAACAAAGGTGAATGTGGACAGGCAGACAGCAACCCTGGTTATTACCGCAGACTGCACCATCGGGATGTTACATATACATATGACGAACCAGAACATTAATTGCTAAACACTGCAATATATTTGGAAATCTGGTATGTACAATAGATGTGTTTGTAGATTTCATATTTATAACTGAAAAACACATTTATATGTATTACAGATATAATTTATGCTTCATTTAATGCCATAAACACGGTGCCATAACATGCATGTAATAAACAGTGTTGCACTGAGATGGACGTTGTCCTGCTTCTACTGTCGACACTCTGGTCATTGTTCTTCATTTCTGTACTTAGGGTTCTGATTTCGTCAAAACACGAGACATTCGGTACTTTCTATGAGTAGATGCTGGGACCTAGGGGGCTTACACTCTGACATCAGTCCCGTAATTAGATATCAGGTCAAGATCCTTTTTGTCAGCCAGGGCAGGTCCCTTCAGTGTTAACAGCCAATGGGCAAAACCGATTGGCAGTTTGTATCAGCTGGAAAGAGGTCTGTCCATCAGCACTTTGATATGTATGTTTCCAAAGCATCCCACAGGAATATAAGCGGCAAAGAGGTGGTGCCTGAGTTGGAGGTTCTCAAAAACTGTGGTGACATACAGTATGTCTCATTCTGACAAACTGCATCAAGACAGTGGTCACGACTCATCGACAGAGATAGATGATAGCAGACATTTAACAGGATAGCTTCTAAACACTGTAAAAATACTGTTTTGAAGATTACCGCATAACTGACTCATATGGAATCACATTTGTGCCAATATTATCAAGCAAAACTTCTCACCGAAGCAAAAGAAATGCCATCTCAAAAGTAAAATTTATAACTTGCAAACAAATTATTGGTCTTTTGATAATGTGCTCCTTTGTTTACGCTGCCAGCTTCCTCGCTTGCGCTGTCTGACTTTTTGTTTACAGTTCTAACACAAACTTCTTGCGTGGGCGGGTTTTTTTTCAGGGGCGCATCCCCATTGGCTAATAAATTTTTGACTGACAGGTCAGTGCCACAGACATTTTTAATTAACAGCAGGACTGGACATAATTTTTACTGGATCCGACAACAAGATTAACAAAGTGTAAATATTGATGTTGTTTGTGCTACACTATACATTTTATTGTGCTAGATTAGAAGTAAAGTTAAGCTTTGCTATGTAATTTAGCTTTTACCTAATTAACGTTAGCTAACTTACCGCGTAAACAAAGGAGCGCATTATCAAAAGACCAATAATTTGTTTGCAAGTTATAAATTTTACTTTTGAGATGACATTTCTTTTGCTTCAGTGAGAAGTTTTGCTTTATAATATTGGCACAAATCTGATTCCATAGACTGAGGTACGGAGCCCTGTACCCCTGAGCATTGGAGAAGATAATATGGTTTGATGAGCCAGCTTTCACCTTTTTCCTACTGGGTATAGCTTTGGAGACAGTCAAAGGATGCCTCTAACCTACAATGTCTGTTGGTTTGGGTAGCCATCTTGAGGGAGTCATTAGATTTAATGATTACTTTGCCTGGTTATATAAAGGTCAAGTAGTTTGCGGACATTTTGCAGGAGCAGGTACTAGGGCTGCTCGATTATGGTCAATACTGAGATCACGATTATTTAGCACGATTACTCATTGACTTTGGAAATATCATGCATTTATTAAACTTTTTTAAAATCGGTCTTTTTAACAGTGGATTTCCTTGAACTCCTTGAGATTAAAGTTAGATTAATTGCCCAGCCCTAGCAGGTATACTCCATGGCGCAAATGGTGATCTCTCATGACAATTGTTCCAAGATAATTTCCCCCTTCAAAATCCTAAACAAATTCAGGTGTGGTTTCATTTAAATACCTATGGCAAGTTTTGAAGCATAGATTTGAGAAATAGATTTACAGCTTCTTCATGGACAGGAATGAGGTTCGAATGAATGGCCCAGTATCCCGGTACATGCAGTTCATGACTTGTATGACAGCTTTACAAGTTTGAAGCTATTCTATAGGCAAAAGGTGGTTTCACTGCTTTTATGGCCCTTAATAAATTGTTAGATGTTTCTGTTATTTTGTCCACTGTTAGTAAATGAATCATAACGAAGGATATTGAAATTGCTGAAAATAATTACCTAATGTTAAGCTTTGCTAAATAATCAATCATCACACAAGAAAAGTCTTTAATGTTCTAAAAAATAAAAGCTCAATGCTGCGATGTTATGCAACATAAGTATATTAATTGAAAATGCTGCAGATAACCTACCCCCGGGTTTTCAAGAAAGTTTAGTACTGGTTCTTCATGCCTGACTGCGGACAAGCCAAAATATCACTATATAATAACCCAACAGTCAATTCAAGTTTAAGTAGAAAACAAAAAGCAGAATGATATGAACTTTCAAAGTCTAAGTGCATTAGTTCACTTTGTGAATTATCTGAATTATCTAAATATGCGTAGATGTGCTTTGTGAACTCTGCTCCCTTCTCAGTGTCCATTGCTCCCTGGCCAGGTGCGGATGTGCGCTATCTGAACATGAGCGCTCTGACGAGGGGCCGCCTCCACTCTGCTTTCTGGGTCGTGGACCGGCAGCACATTTACATCGGCAGTGCCAACATGGACTGGCGCTCACTCTCCAAGGTACTTGAGGACCACGATCACACTTGCAGCCTGGATACTGCCTCGCTGCACCCGGGTGACATAAATAAGTCCTGTCCGACGGCCCGCTTGGGTGACATATGGACCCCGAATATCTCACCTGCCGGGGTGAAGTGTGGCTCCCGTCTTGCCTCGCGCCATCCGTCTCCGTGTTCTGTGGCGCTAGGCAACCGGTCGCCTGTCACGGTTGGCCTGAAAGCAGTGCTTCTGTCAGAGAGCACTCCTTCGCGGTGCCTGGGTGACCTTGCCTTCTTCGCGCTTTGATCTGTTTACATCACTTCAGAGCGGCTCTGTTTGAGCTGTCATGGGCTACTTGGGCCGTGACCAGGTGGGAGTCACGTGAGCAGGGGCGCTGCTAGAGATTTTGGGCCCCATGAAAGCATATCATATTAGGCCCCCCAGTCTAAACCAATCCAGTTATTTTCCTAATTTTTTAGGGCCCCTGTCGCTCAGGGGCCCTTGGAATCGTCCTAGCTTTCCTCCCCCTTACGGCGCCCCTGCACGTGAGTGTCCAGGAAGCAGCATGTGTGGCGTCAAGCAGAACCTCCTTTGGGTCAACAGGGACAAGGGGATCACAGGATACAGTTTCCATTTCTAACCCAACGAGTTTTTTATGAGTATCACTCATTACGCTTTTATGTTATCCATTTCCTAATTAACGGTTTTATCCACAGTAGACTGCAGTTTTAGAGTACATAAGCTGGCTGGCTGGCATTTTCACTTTGGCACTTCAAGGATAGTGCAGTGGCATGAGTTTTTGGGGGAAGTTTTTAGGGGTTACAGCAGACTTCTGGCTAAAACCAGCCAAGCCCAAATCTGTATGCCACCAGGGGACAAGATGCAAGCTGTCCAACTGCTGGAGGTCTTATGCAGGAGCACTGACGGACTCATAAGGTTATAGGGGTCGGTGTCTTGCCAGAGGTACCGAGAGGCGTGGGAGGAATGTGCATGTGGTGATGTGTGTTTGAAGATGTGCAGCGGTCTGCGCAAATTGCATTTCTGTGTACTCGCCTTAAGCCGGCTCTTGCCAGAGCTCTCTGGGATGTTTTGACAACTGTTTCACGCTCGGCAGATGAGAGACGACGACTGTCAGCATGGGCCGGGGCAGCCAAACAAGCCAACGTGGCCGTCTCCATGCCATGACGTACAGAGATGGTTTGACACCGCAGCCAGAGAAATTTATTTGCTCCACGGCCTCCAAATTGAAATGCCGCCTGGGCACGCTCTGATTTAAGTGTGCTGGATCTTCACCAGAGCCATAGAGACAGATGAGGGGGGGGGGCAAGCAGCAATGGGAAGTGCGGCTGAAAACTGAGGGGAGTGATAGAGAGAGAGAATCGTGAAAGTGGCTGCCATTGTTCCATCACTCTCTCACCATGCAATTTAATCAGCTTGCAAGCGGAGATCTTTCTCTCTTTATCTCCCTGTCACTCTCCCCCTTTCCCTGAAATGTCTGCATCAAGAATCTGAGAGATACCTTTTTGGAAGAGAAATTAAAACTGAAAAGAGGAAAAACTGGCCTCTACTTTTTAAGGCAGTGGGAGCGTCTGGAGCTCAGCTGACCCAAGGTCTCACAAGAGTGGCTGACGATGAGAGGAGGGCAACTCCAAGTGTTTTTATAAGGATGCTGCACATCCTGCCTGATGAGTCCCTGGGTCTCTCCAGCCTCTTTCTGGCTGGCAGCATAATATCCCCGGGGTCACCCTGTGCTTCTGACATCACAGTGTGAACTACACGCTGTCCATCTTGGACTTCAGCTTTATTTGAGGATGCAGGCCTTTGATTGGATGCTGCATGATCCATATCATTGTAGTCATGCATCACTGGCCAGTAATTTCTGGTAGACATGAGAAATGTGAAATCAAATCCAATTCCAGCTGACTAATTTTGCCATCATGTGGACGGTGAACTGTGGAATTTTGTACCGGAAATGTAGGAATTGTTTTCTCTGAGGCAAAACACGAGGAACATTTAAGGTCATATGATTTATTGGAACTGGTCTCATGTCCAATATATACATATCCACTAATGAGAGACTATGTTGTGATTTGGTGTATCTGCAGCTCCAGCTGTTCCTGATGTCCTGCCGATGAACTGTCAGCTTATTTAAATTCACAGCTTGCTATAGGTCAAGCACATTAATCACCATGGCCTGTCTGGGGTCTGGAACACATGCCTTTGATACATAGACATAGATCGAGTTTTGACGTCAGTGGCTGAAGTGCTCTGTTTTGGCCCCACAGATGAAGGAGCTTGGAGTCGTCTTGTACAACTGCAGTTGCCTGGCGCTGGACCTGCACAGAGTGTTCAGCTTGTATTCTCAGCTGCAGTATAAGGACTATCTGCCATCCATCTGGTCCAAGAGGCTGACTGGCCTGTACAACAAGGACGATGTCCTCAAACTGCAGCTCAATAGCACCAAGGCTGAGGTCTATGTGTCTGTAAGTGTTTCTCACCTTTTGATCTCAAGGTGTGGGCCAGCAAACTGGATTTTGTCTCCTTTATTTCTGGAGGGTTACAGGAAGCACTGTGACCACGGTAACTTCAGAGAGTGACTGAGCAGGCGGAGGTCAGACACTGGGGCTTTTTGCCAGTGTAGTGACTCTGATGAGGTGCTCTGTCTTCCAGGTGCCGCTATCGCCGCACATAACTGTCATTGAGAATGTTATCTCTCTTTAATTCTTTAGTTCAGTTCTTCACTTCACAGATGTCTTCTTGGGATGATAATTCCACTCGCATTTTTTCATCCCCACTAAAATTTAAATTTGGAATGATCCTTTTACACGAGACAGTACATTGGCTGTCACACCCTTGGTTGCAGGGTGGATCCCTGCCCTGGTCCCATGCAGAGGGCTTGCATGTGTTCTCTGTGTTTGTGGATCTAATGAGCACGTGAAGCCCTGGTCACCTGACCCTCAGAGAGTATAGATATTTTTTTGCGTTCTCAGTTCAGTGAAAGACATTTTTTCCATACATAGATCATGATGAAGGACTCTTGTTTATGGATTGACAGTCGAGTCTGTCTCAGTTCATCCAGGAACCAGAAACCAAGTAGTTAATCTCCCTGTTAGCCATTTCATATTTAACATTTTTTTTCTTGGCCTTTTTTCCTCTGAAAATGTTTATTCACGGAGACTTTGGCATACAATGACATCAAAGTTGTTTTTCTATCACTATATTGTATATCTATGCCAATTTCATTGCCAGTACAATAGTAGATGAATGCATGTTAGACTCATTCAAGGACAGTATATTGTTGATCTTACAGTATGTAGAGGAGAAAGTGTGTTTTTCTAAACTTGCTAAATTTCATATTTTTATAGATTCTGTGAAGTATCAGACTTTGCCTCATAAATATTCATTCTTAACTGATGAGGTAGCTGGAGGATGCCATCAAGTATATCGTCACTTTCAGAAGGGAACTCAACTAAAAACGTGCTACCGTGGTAATGTCTTAAATGCAAAAAGATGCAGCGTCATTTGGAAAGATGTGTCGAGGTCTGATTCAGCTTAATTCGCTTTTAAAATGTATGTTTTTTACCTCTTTCATCCTATTGGAGGTGCATAAACATGTGACACACTCATCAGCACTGCGGCTCAGCGGAATCAAGGCAGCATTTACTCAACCAGCACAATCCCCATCATCATAACCTGCTTATTCCAGCAAAGCCATGGGCAGAATTAGGTTCCATCCTGTGTCCCATAGAGTTGTGTTCTCTACGCTGGGCAGATGTTGTGGAGGGAGCATGTGTTCCACAGGACTGAAGAAAGGCTCCACAGACTTGAATTGATCCAGGACTAGAACTGATGCAAGCTGTGTCACCACTGTCCTTCTGCTGGGTCGTTCTACCACAGAGCTCCCCGGATGCTTTCTGCCCCAAAGACCGGACCAGAGACATTGACGCCATATCCCATGTAATCCAGGAGGCCAAGCGGTTCATCTACATATCCATCACCGATTACCTGCCACTCATCAACAGGAGCCTGTACAGGTGGGCAGGGAATCTACTTCCGAGGCCATAATTCATCGCCTGCCTGTGTGCATATTTTGTGTCATAGTACAACATCTACAGGGTTTTGGGTTCAGTTTCTTAGCGTGCTTGAATTTTGCATGTTCTCCCCTGTGCTGGATTAACCATATGGGCATTTGGCCACAATCCCATGGGCACCACATCAAGCAGAGCGATACCCCATTACCCCCCCCCCCCCATCACCCTCCACCCCCTGGTCCCACTCACAAATGTCTTTCCCTATCTTGGATGTATTTCTGAATTTCATGAGCCACCAATCAGCTCTGTTTCTTTCTGACGTGATATCATATGTGTTGTTGCCCTGGGGCACTGAGTACTGCGTACCCATAGTCCGGCCCTTGTGGGGCTTTTCTCTCATTTCTTGCCACTGTGGCGTGTGTCTGTGCATCCTGTAATGGCCTGGGGTCCATGGTCTCTTCCGTCTTGCGCACTGTGCTTCCGGGAACCTGCAATAGTTTCCTGGAGTCCTGCATTGATACAGTGGTTATGGGATGATGAATATATTTTTGTGTCCATATCTGCTTAATTACAACAAGCACTTCTATAGTAACCTTTACAGCCCAAGTAAAAGGTCATCTTCATCCTGACATTTTTGTCTTATGTTCATATCCCCATCCTTCTTGCTTTGCTCTCGTCTCACGTGACAGATACTGGTCGCGTATCGACGAGATGCTCCGGGAAGCTTTGATCCTGAGAGCCATCAAGGTGCGCCTCCTGATCAGCTGCTCGAAGCAGACACACCCCCTGACCTTTAACTTTGTGTGGTCCCTGAAGACACTGTGCATGGAGATGGCCAATTGCACACTGCAGGTGGTGAGTGGGCCCGAAAGCTACTGGAGCCTTTGTATGCTTGTAGTAACTCCTCTGCCGATGCGAGAGACACTCAGGCAGAGCGGTCAGAGTGTGTAGCGTGTCCTTGCCCGTTCTAGACCTTGACTAATCTCAGCTTCATGCCATTATGTAGCGTCTAGTGGGTTTCAGTGCTATCAAAAATCAGCTTGCTGCCTAGAATATGTCTTGGTGATTCCTGGTTTTTAGCAGATCTCACAGAGCACCCATATAATTTAAACCCCTTGTATTTCTGCTTTTGTGCAGAAATTCTTTAATCCCAGGGAACAGAAGGATGGTACCCAAATTGGAATTAATCACAACAAGTTCATGGTGACTGATAGCTCAGTGTATATAGGTAAGTACTTAGTGTGTTTATTTGCATATTGATTAAAAACTCCTGAAGGTTTTACTGGTTTATAAATATTTGAATAAAAACATAATTAAGGTGGAAGCTGCTTGTCTATATGTGCCTAAATAAAAGTGAATTAATGTCTTGATGGACTGAGTGCAGAGATATACGGTTTTGTCCTTCAGGCAACTTTGACTGGGTGGGGAATGAGTTTCTGTACAACGCGGGTGTAGGACTAGTGATCAGCCAGCCAGAGGGAGTGGAGGAGAGGAACACCACCATCGTGGAGCAGGTGAAAGCGGCCTTTGAGAGGGACTGGTACTCCCGCCACACCAAGAGCCTGCAGGCCAACAAGATCCCCGAGTGTGGCAAACCCAGAGCTGGCCAGCCAGTCGCTCTCAAGGCCCAGATGGACGTCGTGGAGGGCAGAGACACCAGCAACGCTTCTCTCTGATCCCTGGCTTTTAATCACACGCCAGTGGCCAGTGTCTACAGGCCATGGAGAGCAAAAACCATCCTGAAAGTTCATACATAAGACCACTCTGTAAAACCCACTTCCACACAAGATTAATTTATTTTAATAGCTCAGTGACGTGCTTAATTTAGGAGGATTTGTGATGTTTTCCTTGCCCTTAATGAAGCATTTCAAAATTAAATAATAAAACCAGAGTTCTCTTTGACAAACCAAAGAAGGGCATTTAAGATGGTTTATTTGTTTCCTAAGTTTAAAATTCACTTAGGAATCAAACTTTTTTTGACATGTAACACAGATTCAGTAATAAGTTGTTCATTAAACAGCTATAATTCAATATAAAGAACCATTTCAAATAACGGAACAGGTCTGCCATTATTGCATAAAATACAATTTTAGTTTGAGATTCATCAACGGTGCTCTAAGCAGATCCAATTTTTGAAGTGTTAATATTTCCAGGCAGAAAGCATTGGGTAATAAACAAAGTAAAGTGCTTTTCCATCCCCAAGACCCCTTTGTTGTCAAGATTAAATTAGTGAAAGGGGAGGTTTGGTCTGACAGTGGATTTTTCACTAAAAAACACCTGATCAAATAAAAGTGGTTGTAAAGGCAATCGATTCCTGACTAATTAGCCCTTTGTACGCTTATGACATTTATCCTGAATAGTTTATGTTAGGATCCACCCTTCTTTGTACGAATGTTTATTCACTGCCTACCATTTGCCTTACTACTCGTTTCAATATTGATTGCTACAGGTGTGTTGTAGGGATGTTTGCCAGACATTTTTAATGTTAAGCAGATAACAAAAGCAGGCCTTCTTCAGTAACATGGCCTGAATTTATCCTAACCTTACTTTGCTTTAACCTGACATTAAACAGTAATACACACCCCACAATGTCTAATTTCCCCAGCAGTAGTGTATGAATTAAACCAACGTGGTCCTGTGATATTATGAACGTACCAGACCAATTGGCTATGAAGAGCTGTTTAATTCCTCATGTCTATTTCCTTAAAAAAACAACCGGTTAAAAAAACAGATGGCACAAGTCAAGTCAAAACATTTTAAAACTTCATCTTGATAATTATAAGGCATTTATGTTGCTTAATTTTTCATTAGGTATTGAGTGTTATTAAAGGTAAATCAGTTTCTATCTTTCCGAAGACACATTTTCATTCATTTCCATATGTGGCTTCTGCACTAATATTACAATGGCATTTGTCATAGTACTGAATCCAGTTTACAACTTGATTTCTTGTTTCGGAATTTGGTTAAAGACAAACATGAAGGTGCATTTTTTTCTTAACTTATCTTCAAGGAAAACAATCGTGATCCATTTGGACCTGCATGTTTGCATATTGATATTTATTATATATCGTAATAAAAGCATTTTTTTGTATGCAAGAAGTACGGCAAGAACAATGATTTTCTACTGAGCATTATTGGTATTTGTGCAGTAATTTTGAGCCTCATGTTTTATATTTTTTGTACGAATCTGAAGATACTTTTCCATCACTTTTCAAGAGCCACATTCATCAGATGGATCAACCACAGTTTTTCATGGTGAAAAGTATGGAGGGCGTCATGTTTTCATGGTCATGTAGCCAGAGACAAGGACCAATATCAGATGTGTGCCTGAATGCATGAATCGCTGCTATATGACCCTTTACTCGTTTAGTTAAATTAGATGTCACCCTACTGCTTGCTCCTGCCAGTTCATTGATTGTTTTTGTAATCTGACTAGCTTGCCCTTTTCAATACTTTTGAGGCTGCTATGTTATGGAACTATTATGGCAATATATGATGTTACTTTAAAATTTATTTTTGATGCATGTGTGTTTATATCAAATAATACATGTATTATCTGTAATCAGGAGGGCCAGACGGACTGGTTCTAATGGTGAGGGTGACATGGATGTAATTGTAGATGTGCATAGATATGTTTTAAAGGAGCTCACTCCTTTTCTGTTTAAAATGCTTTTTTAAACCAAAGTTCAGGCGGACAGAAAATAGCATTCGCAGCTGTCACTCGCAAAGGCAGCTTAGCCAGCACTCTGCGGTTCTTTGTGGGCTAACAGCCATCCAGTCACTGACAGGTGTGTGAAACTACATTCCCATTTACCCAAGTCAGTGTCGTCCAGCTACACGTTGGGATCCTCAATGTATTTTTTTTAAAAAAGAAAGAAAAAAAGGCTGCCAGCTAGGTAGAACTTTTGTGCCTGCGTGAAAAATAAGCGATTTAGAGTGCATTCTAACACATTCCAGCTAACTGAATGTTATCTACAGCTACTCGGCCATTTTATTTTCTATTGGATGCCACTGAACGAGCATCTACGTTTACCTGATGTACAGAACCAAGCTGCAGTTCTTTCAAATCGGCTGTTGTCCAGTATGGCGTATTCAAATATGATTTGTTACTGCCACCTAGAGGCAAAAATATGATCTTATGTACTAATAGCATGCCAAGAAATTCAAGAGTTTTGCAATTGAGATTCTGTATCTTAATATCCGTACTACCTACACGGAGATGTATGAAAATTGAACTAAGTCAAGTGAATATCAGCAAATTATACTTTGTCCAAAAAAAATGAAAATTACACAGAATGCGCTGTACAATTGTCTAATTCTGTGACTATCTGCCAGGTCTTTTTAAACATAATCATACGCCGAATGATCTTATACAAATGAGTGGCATTCAATTGTCTTTTGGTCAGCAGCTGCTGGTCTGCTTTACACTGATTTATATATGTAATCTAACTGATGAATGCTGGCATTGTGTGTATGAAATATTTAGGGAAACATGTTTGCTTAATGAAAACAACTTTTCTGCAGAATTACAGTTCGAGCAGTGAAAGTTGAAGACAACCACTCCATTATTTTACTGTAGTGCCACCAAGTGGAGTATGAGGGCGTTACAATGAAAGACTTGCTATTGTATGTATAAAATATTAGTTTGCGAAACAGATTACTAAAATCTAGATTAATTTATTACTATGCATTGTATCGGCTTTATAATAGATGAATTACTATTTTTAAAATCACATTTTCTCTACCTTGGCATGCTCCCCTTTGCATGGCTTGCCTTTGACTTTTTTGTTTGGCTTTGTTTTTATTTAAGAATGCAAAGGAATGTTTATTTATTGAATAAAAGTGTGTAGGAAAAAAACCTGACAAATTTCATTTCTATTGTTAATTAAAAAAGATATATATGAAGATACATATTCGGTGTTTGTGGTTTTATTGTGAATTTTTTATATACAGATTTACAGATTTGTGTCCATTCAATTTAGAACAAACTCTATTCCTTTTGCTGACATTGAAATCAGTGATGTCAGGAACATTGAGCTTGTCCTGTGAAAGTTCTAGAGAAGGTGCATCATGCCAGATTAGTCATGCTGAGTGACCTGTTAGCTTAACCTGACCACTAAATCCGTGCATTACCCTGACCAACTAGGCCTACTGAATTAATTGCCTGTCCTCACTTACCATATGCATGGAATAGGCTCACATGTGTACTGCTATTAACAAAATGCTCTGTATATCTAGGACTGTACAGTAGGTGCATCCATTGTTCCGTCTTCCAACTGCCTATCCAGTACATGGTCACGAGGGAGACCTGGATCCCATCCCGGGCTGCACACTGGACAGCATGTTACACCCGTGTTGTTAATGGTTTTCAATATAAAAGATGCACTTTGTTCCAACACCCTTTGAACGAAACGTTATATCAATCATATTCGTTATTCCCGTATTTCACCTATGAAGTTTTTCGCCTCTAATTATCAGTAACAATATGCAACTGTGGGGTATAACATTGTTCATTTGCATCTCGCTAATCAAACCAACTGATACTCTTTTAAATGTACTTTTCTGAAGAAAAAAAAGCAATGCTCATTTTATTTTAATTGAAAAGTAACAAAGCCTCCTTTGACCAATTGGATTATCTTCGATGCACTCGCAGGTTAAGGTGCCTGCCTGTCTATCCTCGGACACCGCACGCCCCTCTGACGTAAAGTGTTGCCATAGCAGCCGATTAGGAGTCGATCCATCGGGGCGGTCCGTCATACATGTTTGCATATTTTCCCAATCTCAGTCCTTCCGCAGCACGGAGGAGCGCGGTTAGCGGCCAACCTGACGACAAATGCCTGATTTCGTTGAATTATCTTTTCTTTTCTTTACGGGACATCAAAAGGAAAGACAACCGGGTGTGCAGAAATTTTCCTGACTGTAAGAAAGTGCGACATAGGTGTGTTTTTTGAGGGGGAGACATGGCCGATGATAGCGAGTGGGTTTTGGAGAGCATCGCCGGGTATCTGGGGAGTCCTGAGTGGGTTATTCCGGTCACTGACTTCATGGAGAACAAATGCACAGGTGAGACGAGGGTCCGGTGAGCCTGCTCGGTGTGTCTGGAGGGTCAAACCCAAAATGCATTGTCGTTACATATGGTGGACGCCGTATGCAACCCGCTGGTGATTGAATGTACCGCGATTTCCACATTTGTCTATATTGCTTGATTAAATTTAATTTCCCAGTAACGTTAGCTAGCCAGATTGCTTGCCCTTGGCTAAGTCGCTGAATTGGTGGGTAATTAGCTATAGTAATTACAAGCGGAATAGGTCTCTTTCGATGCCCGTTCGATGCTCAAATTTTAACGAGGTAAATCAGCGACTCTGATCCTTTTTTAATGCACAGCGGTACAGCACTAGACTGCTCTACTGACAAACAATCCAACATTATTTTTGTTAGCCCTATGTTTTTGAATTTTTTTAATGGTGGAATGATATTTATAATCGAGCAGCTCTTGGCCCAACACGCCTCGTTTGGTAAAAGCTGTTAGTATATGGGATTACAAGGCCGTGTGATTCTGCACTGTTTGTTTTTATGCATTTATGTTTTTGGCTAATCTTATGACGGGAGTACCGCTTTATCGGCATGTTTTAACAGTTGTTTTTTTCTGCCAGTTTTCGATGACGAAGATGAAAATAAACTGACCTACACAGAAATCCACCAGCAGTATAAGCAACTGGTGAGTAAACGTCTGTAGTTTTTGTCAGATGGCAGTATGGTGAGCGGACGCTCCCCTCTTTACTGGGAAAAGGCATGGACAGTCATGCAGCACAGAACAAAGAGACAGCTGGGAATATGTGCTTACTGGTCATCTCAAGAGCAAAGTGACAGCAATCTGTGACGGATGACAATGGTGTCACTCAGCTGTCCGTGTTTACATGCTTGGTTACATTGCAGCTGCCTGGGAAACGAAATTGCCCTCACAACATGTCAGTATCTCAAACAGTTCCTCACTTATTAAATGAGTGCATTTGATAAGATTCGAGTGTTCGATATCAGCAGTCGGAGTTAGGGCTGCTCAGCAGCATTGTAGTGAAGACTTGTAAACGCTTTTAATTGAAAATGTTCGGCTGGTGCGAAAAAACTTAAGCAGCATCTTTAAACATAGAGTGGAGTAGAAGTGAGAGCAAAGCATTGTGGGTATCCGACTTGACTGGTGCAGTATTATGTTTTGTAGAAACTCTTGTTCGTTGTTCTTTGTGGCGCTTTGTAACATTGAAATAAAGCCTCTTAAACTATCACTTCCTTGTTGAAATTGGACCACTAGACACAGGAATATACTGCAGGCGTCCAGAGTGAATCTTCTGCGATTTGGCTAAGCGTTAATTAAGCTTTCTGCGTGTATAACATTGCAGAATGACCAAACCCTCTAGTGTCCGCTAAATTTCTTGACACTTTCTGTTCATTTTGAGTTTGTAATGTTCAGGAATCTCGAATTTAGGATTTGTATGTAACATGTAATTTGTCCATAAATTTCACCAGTAATTCTGTGCCAAAAGGTTCTTTTGTTTTTGCTTGTGTATGTATGTATGTATGTGTGTGTGTGTGTGTGTGTGTGTGTGTGTGTGTGTGTGTGTGTAAAATATTTTTTTTCCTTCAGGTAGAGAATCTTCTGGAAAATTACATGCAGGAGGTCGGGATCAACGAGCAGCAGTTCTTCGAAGCATGCTCCTCTCCCTATGCCAAATCCAAAGCACTTCAGGTGAGCTTACATCTTTGGTGTCGCCTACTCAAAAAACTGCTATGATGGTAAATGGACTGCATTTATATAGCGCTTTTCTACTCCTTCGAGTACTCAAAGCGCTTTACAATTCATGCCTCACATTCACCCATCCATACACACATTCATACACCAGTGGCGGAGGCTGCCATGCAAGGCTCCAACCTGCACACCGGGAGCAATTTGGGGTTCAGCGTCTTGCTCAAGGACACTTTGATGGGGTCAGGAAGACCCGGGGCTCGAACCTGCAACCTTCCAGTTGCCGAACGATAGCACTACCTCCTGCGCCACCATCTTCCCCAGCATTTTATGATGCATTTTTGTGCTGCGGTGAGGGGAAATGAGTCATTGATACCTGGAAATTTTAATTAGGGCTGTGAGGAACGACTATTTTGACAGCAAAGCGTCCGTCATAGCAGCACCTCAGATGACGGACGCCAGCTTTCGGCACCATACGGACATTTCCGCCCACAGTACGATACGCAGATTAACAGTTTGCCTGAATTATTAATGAGATGCGTATTGTGATGCCCAAAAGTTAGTAATCTGTGTAAATTCAGCAAATCCTTATGCTTATTAAATTAAGTTAGTGGAGCGCCACATGCTATTGTAGTAAATCATGGAAGCGATAAAATAGTAGATATTGTGGCTAAACTCGGTAGAACGACGTACGTTGGTGCTGTGGCGCTACTTTTTGGAAATTAAAGTCCGACACTTTTTTTTTTTTTGTTAAATACAAGGACGAAAGATATTAAAATGCTCTCAGTACTAAAGGAAATTGAATAAACATAAATAGACAGCGCTTCCAGTGGTTTGCCTACTCTGGCAGTCCTAATTTTAATCACTATGCCACCTGCTGGCCAATTTCCAGTGGTTACTGGCTTAAATCCCAGAACTGGCCCTGCTGCAGCAGCCTTCGGCAAGGTGCTTAACCTGCATCACCCTGCTTAAAAAAAATAAAAATCCGTTACTACATGTGGGTAAAATTGACTTGCTTTGTATTTAGCTTCGGCTAACCAGCAGCATGTAATATACCGGCCTCAGTGAAGTGTAAGGTCCCTTCGGAGGGGCTGGTCCCTGGGTGGTTATGGATGGAGGTCGGGGAGGGACACTAACACCCCTATGCTATTATCAGCTTGCTCCTTTACGGGTCTGACGCTTCAGCTGCCATTTGGATCCTCACTGCTTTCCTTCACGCTCCAGCTTAACGGGATCAGATGGGGGGCTACAGTTCGAACCTTTAGGTCTCTGCCCATGTGGCCGCCAGCCCACTGGAGTGGTCACATCATTTGTTTGCAAAGGATGATGGTAAAATTGCAGTGGAATTGTGGGGGGGGACAGTAGCTCCTGTACTGGAGGGTTCCACCTTAGGTGTGAAAATTGGTGGTGTCCATCCATTCACGTCGCTCCAGGAAGTCCTAAAAATGCTTGTGACATTGTTTTAGTACCAAAGTATCTCTAGATGTAGCGCCACTTTGTGGTTTGTATATTTGAGGATGCGGTATAACTCCTCGTCTGAGATGATGTCAGTGGGACAGTGTGGGAGACCTTGAAAACCAGTTTTAATCCACACCCTGTCTGTGCATCTTTCTTTTTTTAAGCCATAGACTGACTGCACTGGTGGATTGGAGATGGTTGTGGTTATGCAGAAGATGAAGTGCTTATTTACTAAAAATATCCTGTAAGGATACACCATTTGCATAAAGTGCCCTTTAAACAGCAAAAGAGTAAAAATGTTTGTCGTGCGTAGGCTGGTTAAGTAGGCAAGCAGTAGATTTGTTAAAATTTAAACTTTCTGTCTTGTTCCCTTTATTAACAATGTTGAGGATACATATGGTTACAAATCTGTTACCTATTAGTAATACTTTTTTTCAGTGGATTTGTTAAAATTCAAGACAATTTGTGAATGGCAGTGATGTTTCCGCAAAACACCATTTATTTCATAACTCAAGAGGAGCGAGGCAGTTAAACTTGTGGACAGGAGGGGGATCATCAGTCTGAATTGAATTGGGTTAGGCCTGTACTGCGATGGCTCCTCTGAGGTGAGCTCAGAGCCCTGTCCCAGGGACATTAATGGCCTGGGAAAAGCCTATAGAAGTGATTAAATTACTGTAAGGTGCAGGAACCAGGTCATAGGCATGGGGGGGGGGGAGCTCAGATGGCCCAATTCGGGGCCAGTTCAGGCCATCCGCCAGCAAAGCAAATGGCATAGGGATCACTGCGACAGGTTGGGAAGTCCAGCGAGTCACCGTGACATCAGCCTGTTAAAGTCAGAGTGAATTAAAGCTGCCTGGTCTCAAGATTACTGAATTACTGAAACTGATCCTATGTGATGGCGGTGGATTTCTCCTTCATGCATACCTGGACCAGTATACAGATTCAACAACATTTACCCACCAGAGTTTTGCTGTTTGGATGTTGTGTCAACGAGAGAGAATTTTGTTGGAGGGGGAGGTGCAGGTCTGGTCGGCCCAGGTGCTGGTGGGCAGCTGGTGGGCAGCTGGTGCACACAGGAACCTTGCCTGCTGACCATTACCACCTCCCCGCAGGGGGTGTTCCAGCCTGTGCTGGCCACAGACGACTTCCAGATGTTCCGTTCCCTGATGGTGCAGAAGAACGTGGAGCTCCAGCTGCAGGCTCTGCGGGTCATTAAGGAGAGGAACGGTAACCGCAGTGTCCCCTCTCCATGTGACCTCTTAGCCTATTCAGAGATACTGTCATTACACGCATATATTACACCTTATGGAGTTACGACTGCAACACACATGGAAGTGAAAGGGGTGTTTAGGACTTCTTGCTAAAATCAGCCTCCATTAAGTGTTGAGTTTCTTTTGCACAAGTGCCATGTGACTGCAGTATATTGCCTAAGATGTACCAACCTCCTTTCATTTACAGTGATTTTAAGTATCATTAAATTAAAATTCTGAATATAGGAGAAACTCTGGCACTTCAGTGAGGTCCTTCAGATAGCAGGGTTTTGAATAGGCCTTGGGGGGCCAGCGAGAGAGGGTTTTATGCTCTGTCTTCCTGTCCTGTCCCCCGCCCCCCCCTGCAGGTGCCCTGCCTGAGTGTCTGACAGATGGGACAGATGTGGTGAGTGAGCTGGAGCAGCAGGAGCTGAGGATCCTCCAGGAGGTGCTGAAGTGAGTGGCTGGGCCATCATGTCAGCTACCATTTAGGTTCCAGCGTGTGCAGCCACAGCAAAGCAGCTTGTTTTTGGCTCAGACTCACTTTGATGCCATGTCTGCCTAATGGTGCAGCGTGTGAGTGACGTTGGGTTGGATGCTTTAGGGACGGTTTTGGAATGACTGCTGGCCCATAGTTTCCTTTCCTGGAAACTGCAGAGGTTCGCCTTGTAATGAGCTTGATGGGACTCCTGTGTGTGTGTACTTGTGTGTTTTAATTGGGTTTGTAACCAGCGCTTGCTCTACACGTGGAGTTTGATACTGTAGGTCTCCCCAGGTCAGGGTTCGTTTTGGTCTCCTTCGCTCACATCAGATTTCCTGTGTGAGGTCAGTGTAACGTCACACTTTAAACCCGTAAAAGAGCTCTAAGGTTCCATCTTCATTTGGGCTGTGACAAAACCATTTTCTCAATGATTGTAGATTTTTTTTTCCCCACCTCGTCTGTATATGAATGTTATATTATTGATTATTGATTTTTTTTTTTTCTTCAAATCAACACTTGTTTGATGGAGAATATTCAGGTTTTAGATATTAAGTAAATTTGCTGTGCTTTTCTTGGATTTGGCTCTGATTGGGTAATATGATTTGGATCCGTTTATGTACTGAACTATACAAAGTGTTGTTACAATATTTCACAAGGCCCTGCCTCACACCAATTGCCATGTATTTATTTTATATAAATGATTACTCAATCATCAGGTTAATCTGTAGATTACTCAATTATCGGTATAATCGAGTGACAGCCCTAAAATGCTTACCACCTAAACTTTTACTGGATGATCCTAACTTCTGGCTTAAGTTAACCCAGCTAACTGAGAGATCCTGCTTGACAGAACACCCCCCTGTACTAGATTTCACACCTGCTCCATTCGAATGTCAGACCAGGAGTGTGTGGCGGCCCCCATTTTTCTCTCATACCCCCTGCAGGAGGTCGAAGGAGGAGTACGATCTGGAGCTGGCACGTAGGGTCATGCTGAAGGAGGAGCAGCAGGAGCTCGGCTCGACCTCCACGGGCAGCTCAGACGGGGGGCCAGCAGACGCGGAGCAGCAGGTCCACCAAGCAGAGCCAGTGTGTTGCCATGGTTTAAAAAATGCACAATATAACTTCAAAGTTTGATATTTGGGAATTAAACTAATCTCTGGCTAATCTTTTTTTTTAAGAAAATCAATGAGATAGGATTTGGATTTTGGATTCCCTTCCTTGCCAGATATCAGGGATTAACTTTTCTGGAGAATCTGCTATGAAGTTCCTTGACATTTTTTCCTTGGGGTACCGTTTGGGGTGCTGGCTGAGCTGCTGGTGTCCTTTAACTCCCAAAGGTGGGGGTGACGGAGGGGAACAGAGGCAGGTCCAAGGTGGTGGGTGGTGTACAGATCCAAGACACCGTTGTCACCAATGGCACCGCAGTGGTAACTTGCTAGTCTAGGATACTTGTGAAATAGACTTAGGGAGGGGGATCTATGTATTCTGTGATACAGGGTGAAAATGCTCGCTTCTGGAAAGGATATTGTGACCACCAGGACTCTGATTTCAGGTTTTGCCTGTGAAGAAGCAAGATGGCGAGGCCTGCAGAGAACATGGTGTGCAGAAGAGCCAGGCCACAGTCAGCCCTACTGCCCCAGCCAAGATGCTTCCAGGTAACCAAGGTTTCCCTCATGTGACTCTTCCATTGCATCCCCCTGTTCTTTCCCTGTAGCCCTTGTGAACATGCAGGTAACTCTCACTGTGGCTTACAGGACAGGGCGGTCCCAGCCCCAAGGTGCTGCCTGCCGTCAGGGTTCCAGTGAAGGGCGTGGAGCTTCCAACGCCGCCGCCGCAGGTGGAACTCAAGGAGAAAGTGGGCCAGCAGGCCGCCGAGGCCTGGCTGGAAGAGGCCCGCAGGGAGGCGGGCATTTCCAAGCCGTTTACGGTGAGACCTGCCCATCAGTTTAACTACTAGCCCTTCATCCTCATGGGAACGAGTTAACAACCCCTGTAAATAGACCCGGCTGACCTTCAGGGGCCGCGTCCATCTGTCTGTGTCCGTATCAAATGTAGGAGCTGACGGTGGTCCAGCAGGACCAGCTCCAGCAGAGAGCGCAATACCTGAGGCAGCAAAGGGACAAGCTCCAGGCCCTCAAGAAGGAGCAGAAGCCGAAAACAGCTGCACCGGAGGAGAACCCAACTGGCCCAAGCCCAGCGCCCAGCCCACCGGTACTGTACCCTCCAGGGCCTGACAGGCAATTCCCACGGTTTTTAGGAGCGTCAACAAGGGTAGTGACCATGAAGGTCAAAAGCAGCAGCAGACTTGGAACACTTTAAAGCCCTATGCTGTGGATATTGGACAGAGCAGTTTTTGCTTGCATTTGTGTCTTTCAGCCAATTTGAGCTACATTGCTACTCTGTTTTCAAAGCAGTAATTTTTTGTAGTGGTAGGGGTGCCTTGTACATAAAGTTAATGGGGGGGAAATGTACATTGATGTTCAGATGGAACATTAAAATGCTGTGCTTTCACTGTTCCATTACTGAGAAAACGAAACTACCTGAATTGATTAAAATGAGAAAATAGATCAGCACACAACACGCCAACCATTTCAACAGTGACCACTCAGTATTAATGCAATATTTATGGCTGTTTTTAATGTAAACACTTCCCTTGGTCATTTCATTTCACAAGCTTTTTTTTCCTATTTGCATGCGGCCAGGCCAACGTCCCCACCAAGAATGTTAGCACTAATGTTGGGCATGACGAGACAGTCTCGTGCACCATGGGGTCACCCCAGGGGGTACAGAAGAAAAAGGTGATGCAGGCTGTGTGTGAAGTGCCCCCCCAGCTCTGCTTGTCCCCTTTTGTGAGCACAGAGTTAGGAGACAAAGTGGTTATTTAACGTGTGCATGTTTGTGGTGAATTGGCCAAATTGCTCATGTCGTGACCTTGACCTTGGTCTCCCTTCTCGAAAGGAGGTCTCAGTAGAAGAGAGGAAGAGGCTCCAAAAAAGGAAACACTTGGCAGAGAAACTCAAGGAGGAGGTCATCAAGAAGTGAGCTGTATGTATTTTTTCCCCGGAAGGACAATCTTTTTTTTGTTCCAAAGGAACCTTGGAAATCCACCTCAGGCAGTGTGTGTTCCTGGATGCGGTGCTCAAGTCCAGAGGAACAGTGTGCTTCTCAAATGTACAAATGCAGTATTCAATAGCTAGTCAACTAACTTACTGGTTCTGTACAAACGACCTGTATGCTGTTAATTTTATATTCTACCTGCAATAGAGATCTGTTTAAACCACAGATGCCTGATGGATTACAGTACAAGAAGTACAGACTGTAAAGCGAATCACTCCCTTTAATTCTCAAATGACTGTGAGTGTATGGATAAAACCACCAAGCCATGGTACTTCATCTTCTCAGCATGGTTTCCTTCCTAGTCACCAGACCATTACGTCGTGAGATTGCTGGAACTTTTACACCTGGAATTGCATGTTAAACATTCCACAGTTAAGATACACCTGTAAAAAGCTGCCAGTTACGTATCATCGTAGCCGTTTCCGTAGTGATTTGACTGGCCCCCGATCAATTTCAAGGACGACGTGTACATGCATGTGCCCCAGACAGCTGGGCCTGCATTTAAACCTCAAGCCCACGGTGCCTCTCTCCACTCAGTACTAACCCAAGTAGGCAATTGCACTGAAGAGTTATGAAAACTGGGCCGTCTGAGTGACACGTCACCTCGCTTTTTCAATGCGGTGGCAGGAGAAGCAAAGCCAGAACCTCCAAGATCTTTGATGTGACAGTTTGCTTGGTAAACAGCTCCAGCAAAGAAGCAGGAGCGTCTTGATACACTGCATTACAATCCCTTGTACCTAGCTAATGCAACCATTTCCAGAGGAATCTCAGCAGTTTTTAATAAATAATAAAAAAATATTACTGCATTAATATGTAAAAATAAATGTCAACCCACCCCCATGCTGTGTAGCCGTCGTCCTAAGGGAACACTGCGCCTAACTGCACACTTTGTGCTTGCCGTGTAGCTGTCGCCCGTCATCCTAAGGGAACACTGCGCCTAACTGCACACTTTGTGCTCGCCATGTGGCCGGGCACCTTTCGTCCTAAGGGAACACTGCACCTAACTTCACGCTTTGCGCTTGCCGTGTAGCTGTCGCCCGTCATCCTAAGGGAACACTGCGCCTAACTGCACGCTTTGCGCTCGCTGTGTGGCCAGGCACCTTTTGTCCTAAGGGAACACTGCGCCTAACTGCACGCTTTGCGCTCGCTGTGGGGCCGGGCACCTTTCGTCCTAAGGGAACACTGCGCCTAACTGCACGCTTTGTGCTTGCCGTGTAGCTGTCGCCCGTCATCCTAAGGGAACACTGCGCCTAACTGCACGCTTTGCGCTCGCTGTGTGGCCGGGCACCTTTCGTCCTAAGGGAACACTGCGCCTAACTGCACACTTTGTGCTCGCCGTGTGGCCGGGCCCCCATCGTCCTAAGGGAACACTGCGCCTAACTGCACGCTTGGTGCTTGCCGTGTGGCCGGGCATCCTTCGTCCTAAGGGAACACTGCACCTAACTGCACGCTTTGCGCTTGCTGTGTGGCCGGCGCCCTTCATCCTAAGAGAACACTGCGCCTAACAGCTGCATCACCTGCTGGCCATTTGCTGCCAAGTAATGCAACCTCAAATTATTCTACCTCACCAGCAAAGCATTCGAAAAACTGCAACATCGCTCTACCATGCCCACAGACGCAGACCTCGCGTTGCGTGTCACACCACTGGTCATAAAAGGAATCGACAATTCCTACACTCGGGCTCCCTTAGAGGTGTTTGCTCTGTTACTAAGCAGCATGGCATTTGAGCTTTATGCAAGAAATTCCCGTTCAAATTTCTTTAGTAGTAGCATTTAACCTATGGCTGGGGGGTGGTTAATAGTGACAGACCAGCACAGAAATACAAAAGTTGACCGAAACGTGGGGCTGGTATCTAGTGTGAGAAACACCAAGGCCGTCGGAACAGACTGTGGTAGATGGTCTCCGTCAGCTTCGTGACAGAGCGAGCCTCTTTGGGACAGAAACACAAGCTCAGCGCACAACCCTGATAGTGCAGTCTGTGTGTGACGCTCTACAGCAACAGCAGCCAGTACTCAGGGTATTAAAAACATAAAAAGACTAGTGCATCTTTAATGCCAGGATCACGTTTAATTTTTAAACATTTCAAATAACAAATGTATACAAATGGTGTAGAACCGAGATAGTGGTAGTAAATGCACTTGTACAAAATTTTAGGGGGGTGGGGGGAGACCTTTTTCTAGCCGACCCTATCCTTGAAATGTTTGGTCTGCCCATGCCGTATCTCGGTTATGCCGAAATGCTCATTTCCTGCTCGAAAGCTACATCACTGTCCAGAGGAATGTCTACCGCTTGGAGTAGCCTTTGTCTGACGACCGGCCCTAAACTCGACACCCCAACCACTCCCCAAAAGGGCCACATATGCAATACTGACGGCCTGCACCAACACATCACCGTGTGAAGTCAGTTGCCTTTTGCTTAAGCCGGGGCGATCATCCTTTACCCAGGACTGCTGGAGCTGAAGGTCACGACCAGCAGCTCAGTCCTTACTCCACTTACATTTTTCCTCTCAACAGACAGACATTTTAGTGGGAGGGGGTGCTTTGAATGGCCTGTGAATCAAGAGCAGTGTGTACAGAATGAAACCATAGAAATCGTCCATTAGGGCAGAAAACGTGCCTTTACTGCAGTTTAATGTTTTGTTAAAACCCGACTTTGCTTACTACATTGAATCAAAATTTTCAATTAAAATAAGTAAACAGTGGTCCCCACCTTTTGTGCTCAAAATGACATGGGCAGGAGTCGCTCTCCCTTCAGATAATTTGAGGAGGCAAAATGATTTAAAAAAACTGTACAGTACTTTAATAAAATTACGAATACAGGCTTCCTGGCTGACGGAGTTCCGACACGAGCCCCCTGACATTCTTGACATCAGAGAACCCGTTTAAAAGTGTGAGTCCCGCTCTCAGGAACTAAGCTTTTTTTTTTTTTAATCCTGCCTAGCCGTCCCACCCCCCCTCCCAAGTGTGATCTGTAGGTGTTTACGGTAAGCCAATCATCCATTGCTAAGTCGCTAGTCCTGCTAGCCTGACTGTCCTTCCCATCATTCCTTGCTCCGCATCTAAAAGGGATCAGGATGTAGGGAAGTGCGTCCGTTCCTGCAGGTGCGAGTGGAGGGAGGTGGCGTTTAGGGGACGTGGGGATTGTTGGCACTCTGACTCCTCTGGGCCTCCTCCAGTGAGGGTACAGGTATGTTGAGTAGGGATGAGGCCGCGGGCGTAATTAGCGGAGGAGAAGACTGAGCGGTATGGGGGGGGCTCTCAGGCCAGAGGGCTGTAGAACATGGGTGCCATCAGAACTCGCTCCAGAGGGATCACCTTGCTACTCTTTACGATCCTAGACGGGGTCGTTTGCGTGGCGACTCCTCTTCCTCCTCTTCCTCATCGTCATCTGGGTAATCCACCAGGCCGACCAACCCAGCCTGAGAGAGAAATGGAACTTTTATTACACCTTTGCTGGTATGCAATCCCTTTCCACCAGGGGAAGTATTTCACAAAGCAAGTTGGCTCAACAGCTTCAGTAACCTCTCTTACTGACTTAACCGTGCAACCATCCCTAGTTGGAAAAGCGGTTTAAGCTCAATGAACAGGGACACCATTTTCCTTGACTTTGGGGAGTTAGTATCCTGGTCTCCAATCTCTTCCAAAATCAGAAAGCTCACCTTGGTGACAGGTGTGGCTGGTAATGCAGGGGGCTTTGCAGAGGTGCTGTTGGGACTGGGAGGGCTGGAGGGCGCGGCTGTGGGCTTTCCGTTGGTCCCATTGGCTGATCCTACAGGGTGGAAGAAGGGGCAGGTCAGGGTGTGCTCTGGGAGGTTAGGTGGAAAAGCAAGGCTGAGTGAATCCAACAGTGAACCGCAGGAAAATGCTGAGGTGACGTCGATCCTCTGAGTTTAACTAAATTTGAACCCGAACAGTCCCTATCCAAAAGCTTTGCCTAGATGGGCTCTCCGCGTCAAAGGCTCTACGGAGGGGTGTGAGGAACTGCGCTACAAGTCATGAATTAATGCAACCCCACCTTTCTTCGCTTCCATATATTTTTCATAGCTCTCAGGAAAGTCCTCCTCAGATTTGCTCTTTTCCACCAAGGTCTCTCCTTCCTCCTCCTCATCATCTTCATTTAACCATGTTTCTTCATCGTCCTCCATAGGACGGGAGTCCCGGCGATATCTGTTTTGGAATATGTAGAGGTTATGTTATCGCACTAAATACTAAGAGGTTACACTGACACTAAAAGCCTTACTCCAGAAACTGACACACAGAGACGGTTATGTTCAAATAGGACAGTAACATCCTAATGCAACCTATCCCTCATGTGCCGCCAGACTTGGCTGCAACGTACTGAAAGTCCACTAACCGACTGTGTCTCTGAGTCTGCCGGTCCTTCTCCTGTTCATATTTGGTCTTCAGTCCCTTGAAAGTCTGGACGTACTCAATTGGTTCAAGTGCTTTGTAGAAATTGTCCACAATGTGTGCTGTGAGCGACTTAATATCCTCCTAAGGAAAAGGAACACCCGTTAGCGTGCGGGTCAAAAGCACACAAATCCTGCCGTTACAGAAATCCGAAGAACAGAAACCAACCACTCTGATGAACTCAAAAAGCTCGATGATGGCAGAATTTAGAAGGTTGTATCGCGTCCCGTTATCTAGCAGGGCGTTGATGACCGGCTCAAACAAGTCCCCTCGGATGATGTAACGGTTGTAAAATTCGTCTTTCAGGCCTATTATCCGCCGCATAAAACGCAGAGCGCCTGCACAGAGAAAGCAGTGTCTCGTCACCTCTCAAGCTATCAGCACAACCAAGCATGGTTATGGAAGGGCACAGCGATGCAGCACTCACACAGCGCCAAGAAGGTGTGCTTGGAGTTCATAAGCACTAGGACCCTGCGCAGGAGGTCTTTGTTCATGATGTAGTTCTTGATGTGGTAGGTGTGGTGCTCCACGCAGAACGTCAATAGCTCCAGTATTAGGGCCAGCAGTTGTGCCGTCTGGAAGTTATCTGACACGGGAGATGCCGATCAAAGCGGGGTTACCACAGCGCACACACTTAGAAGCTATTTAAACACGAAGGGCAAAAAATGTTCACTTACCAGGACAAACCGGATTGATCTTGGTGGATCCCTCTGGTGAATCTGTCGATTTATATTCAAATGACTTCAGAGGCACAACATGCACACTGCAGCCATGTCAAGATAAAGCTGGTGGTGCAGCTTCAGCGCGCTTCGCGCAAAATTGTAGCCAAGAAATCAGGATTATGATTTAGGCTCAAGTGATACTAACTGCTACAC